CGTGTTAATCCCCCAAAGCAGATGACTTTTTCCGACCCCACATATTTCACAAAGCTTGAATACATTCAAAGGGAAAGGAAGTTGACAAAATACAAAAAACAGATGTTTAATAAACTTGAGTAATCGGACGGGCAAGCACGTTTGGGTCATTCCAAAAGACAGCCACAAAAAAGGAAGCAACTATTTTCTTGAAGACACAATAAAGGAGACTTTGGTTTGGTTTTAATTAAAAAGAGCTCAGATCCCAACCAAAAGAAGAATCCTGACCTCCTGTGACATACTCTGAGCTCACCTTTTCAAAAGAAAGAAACAGCTCTCACTTGCTATTTAGCATCAATAGTATCATCCCAGTCACATCACCTTCATTCACCCAGAGAGTAGGATGTGATCAGTGACAAGCATCGTATCAGTCAGGGTTAAACCTGGTCTGAGTCACCAAATCATCCTGGCAGTCTAACAGGAGATTCAAGCCTTGTCCTCAGCATTTCCTAGACAGGAACAACACTGACTCTGCGTTTAGGAGTAGTTTTAAAACAGATTACTTCTGGCAATGAAACAACTATAAAAGTAAATACAGTATGAATGGCACAGACACTAAACATGAAAGGGTTTTTTTTGCCCAGAAGGATCTGAAGTAGATGCAATCATCAACTATTTTTACTGTTCTTTAAAAACTGTATTTCATTTTCACTTAAACTGCTTTGAATCTACAGGGGAGATAATATCAAAACAAACATATGGAAATCTAAGTTTTTCTATGGCTTTATGGAATCAATCCTGTTCTCTTTCAACTAACTTAGGTGAGAAATAAAAGCAGAGGAAAATCAAGCAGTACAGATCTTTCCATCTTCACCTTCTGTTATATAAAACACTACCTCTGTTTTGCAGTGTGGGGTTTTGCAAGTCTTCAAGTTGAAGAGTCAACCTTTCAAAATGCCCAAGATCTATCTCTATATGATTATCATTATGTGTACACAGGTGGAAAATGTTCTTCCTCCTTATTAGTCATTTTAGTTAAAGCTGTTATCCTCATACCTAGCAGAAAGGAAATATACTTGCTCATTCTATCACATAGTCACAACTCAGCCAAACAGAATGCTGTATTTTGGACCTCTGCAGTCTCCACTTAGCATACCTAACTAATTTTTCAGTAAATACAGCCAAAGCAGAAATTAGAAACAAAAAACAGGGAAGAAATATATTCCACACTTGTAAGTGACATTGTGACCAACAGCTTCAGGTGTTGGATGATCATGAACTCTTGACTCATGGCCTTATTTTCAGGCACTAATCACCTGCAACTGCAGCTGATATCTAGTTCTTGTCTGAGAGTCTGTGGCAGACAGAAAGCTAAAGGTACAGCAACTCAGTCACAAAATGCTGGATAACTAAAAAGAGGAAAGGATTGTTCTACATCATTTGTCTTCTTATAGCTGGAGAGACAAAAATGTGCTCAAAAAAAGGTAACTGATGAATTTTGTACTTTCCTTATATGTTAAAGGCAGGAAATACAAAGTCATGTAATTTTTTTTAAACAGCAGTGGCTATCTTTCCCCCTCCTCCTTCAAACATGCATACCCAACCAGCTAACTGGATGTGTGTAGAAGATCCAGGATTATTTATTCAGCTTTTCACTAGCTTTTTGGAATACAGGGATGTTGGAAGACTCTGCAATGAAATATTGTTTGTTAACAGCATGAAGCATAAAAGGTTTTTCTTATGTATCCCTTTCTTTTACAATATTGCACTTACAACAATTGATGAAAAGGCCTTCATTGTGGCTTCTGTTTTTGAAGTCTCCCATAGAAGCTCTCTCCACATACAATGTGGCATTTTCTACTAAAAAAATATAATTTACAGGTCCATATATAGGCATGTGGATGTCTCTTCTCTCTTTTCTGCTCATTTGGGATTTTTTCTTGTGAGAAGCAATACAATGAGGTATGATTATATGGCATCAAAGCACAAACACCTAAAGAATGAACTTTCCTTTAGAAACACAAATGACACCGGAGTTACCTTACTTTTAAACAGCCCAAAGAGCAGCAGCAGCACTGAGGGGTAATGGAAGTAGGTCATATTTTCCCCCTGTTTTGTTACACACAGAACAGACAAAAAAATCTGATGAATTTGGCACTCACAGTAACAAGTCATCTGTATACAATGTGAGAAAACTGATTGCTTAAGAGCAAGGATATTGAATCATGTCTCCTGGAATATAATCTAAAAACAAACCAAATCAAAATTTAATAAACAAGAAAAAATAAACGAGCACACAATAAAAACCTAAAGCCATGACAACGTTCAAACAGAACAATAACAAACCCAATCAAAAAAACAGAACAATAACAAACCCAATCAAAATACCACACAGATAAGGTCTTGCAGCTAATGGGCCAGTGGTGCTGAAGGTACAAGAGCAGCACAGAGGTCGGACTAGACAGATGGACAGTCCCACAAGGCCCCTCAAACTCAGGAGGAAGTATCACCAGTATCTGTTTCCATTTTTACGCAGACTTCATGAGCAAATAATACACTGCCATCATTAAACCTCATTCCATCCTACAACACACACTACAAGCATCAATAAAACCGCCCAAAGTTTGGCTCATTTGCTAACCCCATCCTACAACACACACTACAAGCATCAATAAAACCGCCCAAAGTTTGGCTCATTTGCTAACCCAGAAAGGTTTGTGCAGCAAAATTCCTGAAATTGTAGGAAACACAAATCCTTCTCAGTTTATACTTGTATCATATTTGCAATGTTATTTTCATAATTGTAGCAGCTCAGGTTTTGGGAAGTGTAGTTCAGATCTTCAACCACGCAAAAAGTCTTTAATTCTCCACTGAGAAGCAAACCCACAGATGTGCTTAGGCATGTATGTTTAACATCTTCTGCCCACGGCCACACTTGCTGCTCCTAAAATATTTTGTTGAAACGGTATCACTTTCCTTTTCTGTGTATACTGCACCAATTTGGCTAAAAACATGAAGCTTATAAATAGGAACATGGGGTTTCCAACGTGAATAAACACTTCAATTTAGATGTATTAAAACCTACTCAGTTTTGTGAGATGGGACTAAAACAATTCATGTCTTTCAGATAAGACTGAAAACAATGTGTATTCCCCCATTTGACTAGCACAGGTTAAAGACAAAAGGCTGTAGAAAAGATTTGCTGTAGAAAAGATCCTGCATATTTCACCAGCAAGTTTGTTTTTCAAACAAACTGGGCTTTCCTTGAGTAGTGATGGTTATGAAATAAAAGTCTCTGAAAACAATCGTATTGAAGTGATCTCAACAGAGAGTTGTTTAAATCCTCAGGTCCTTCAGGTGTTGATGAAATTAAAAACAAATTAAATGCTGATATTTGGTCTTTCCTAATGTGAAAGACCAAAAAAGTACTTTTTTCTCAAACTCCCAGAAGCAAAGCTGGAGTTATAGGGTGCATTGCATCCACATGATCTTGTATTTTCTTCTAAACAATTTAATGAAAGGGACCTAATCTCAAAATGGTTTCTGTCAAGTGTCTGCACATCATTTTCAAATTTCAAAATACAGTGAATTAACATCCACAGATGGGTTAAAAAAACCCCCAAACCTGTCTCTGGAATAATAGAGATATTGATACCACAATAAAAGAGCACTAAGATTTTATTAGTGTTTGATGATTTAAAATATAACTACACTTTTGAACAGCAACAATTATCTAAAGAGTGCTTTTACCTAAAGAATGTTTGCTATAGATATTTGACAGGCATTCTGAAAGGCACAAAAGTGTAACAAGTTTCTACACACATGGGCATTTTACTTGATGGCAGTTCAGCTCATACATAACCTGCCTGTCCAGAGAATTTTCCTTCCACTAAAACAAAATCTGAGACTGAACACATAGTTGCAGGTGGATCACAAACAGCAGCAGAGAGCAGATCAAAAAGTGCCTGCATGTACACAAAGAAAATAGACAAACCTCATAAGCAGATCATAAAAACATTACAAACACTTTTTTAATTTTAATTTTCCTAATCAGAATTTCTTTTATGTTAATGCAGGGATAACATTTTTCCAGGGCACTATATGTCTAAGACGTCTGTATCTCACTGGTGATCCTCCATTTTACAGAAGGGAAAACCGAGCCAATGAAGGCATGGAAATCACCGTAGCTACAAAAAACGCAAGTAACAAAGGATGAAATTTGAACTCAGGTTTCTGCTTTCCTATTCATTGAACCCTGAAGACTTTGAAAAATACACATTCCAGTGCACTTCCACAACAGCAAGAGTGTTCTACCACATTACACGTTACTTGTGTAAGCGTGGCACGCTAAAATCATTAGTGGCTACTAACAGATAGATGGTGTGAAACTGGATTGGTCTTGGTAACAAAACTAATTCTGATTCTACTGATCACAACCACACACTATAGCAGTAGTAGCTGTGTCTCCTTGGCAAGGACAAACCTAGATTAATCTCAACAGGGTACAGAGAAACTTTAGATGAGACTGCTTTGCTTCTTTCCTTGCACTCGGTTTCTGTGAGACCACTCAGTGCTTGTAAGAGTGATATAAATTACTGAAAATTTTTGATGATTTCAAGTTAATATCCTAAGGCCTTGCCAGAGGAAAGCCAAAAAATTATGTAGTTATCTAGAAATAGATCTACAGTTTACTGGATCAAGAGCAAAACAGCAGCAAGGAAATACATCAACTGTTCAGAAAGAAACTACTGATCTAATATTTGAAGGAAAAAACCCACCAAGAACTTTAACCTCTCCTGAAGCTGTTCAAACAGAAATGGAATTAATAACTGTAATGGACAGTTCACTGCCCTGTTTAATGCTATTCTATTGCACTGTCATCTATGTAATGCTAATACACACATCAGCCATTTTCACTGCAACATGAATCAGAGCTGAAATGAAAAGAGAACTGGTTTGAGAATATGCATTATCAGAAATGCCTGAATAATCTTCAGCCACCCCAGCCTCCACAGCCTTACCGGAATGTCAAAGGTTTCTTGTGTGTCATCCAGCATCTGAATTTTGATAGAGACAAGTTTTCCAGGAGGTGTCATAGGTGGTTTCTGTCCATGCTCCAAAGTACTGATCCCAGCATTTTCCTGAGCTCCTAAGCGGGATCCTGCTGTTGGTCTCTGCTCAGTTTCACCCATGTTTAGGGAAATGCGTTTCTTATATCTGATAAAAGAATAAGGGCAAAGAAGACCATATCAGTCATAAAGATGATTTGCACTAAACATCATGGTATATATGCTTACAGGTAGCAAACTGTATGACCATTAACAAAAAGTAAGAGCCATCACAATTTTTTCTTAATGTTTCATATGAAGACGAGAAAATCAGGCAAACTTTATACTTTTCAAAATACACAGGCTAATCACCTCCTGGGGGTAAGGCTGACAGGCTATGGTACTGAACAAGGGAAAATTATTTCTTCTCTCCTGGAAAAGTAAACAAGACCACACTGGAAACAGAGCACAAGAGAACCCAGATTTCAATTAATTATGTAAATTTTTAGTTATTTATGAAGCAGGATGTTATCACCTCCAGACAGGATTCCCAGAGAAGGTAGGAAAGTGAGAAGAGCAGGTGGGACAACTCAGCACTGGCTGACCATCATTCCCTCTTGGCTACATCAGCACTTTTTCCTTCCAGCCTTCTCTGGCCCTTTGTGGATGCCACCTTGATAAGGGTCTGTGAGGCAGGAAAGCCAGCAGGCACAAGATGACACCGATCGTACAAGTGAGGACCCGAGCTGCTCTAGACCTGGAGCCTGGCCTGATCCCACTGCTGAGGCAAGAACTGTGAAGACACGCAACTGGGAAGGCCAGAAAAAAAAAAGCCAAAACTGATTGGGAAATTCTTCATTATTGGCACAACTTTGAAACTTCTTTTTTAATTCAAGCACCGTTAGTTTTACTTGTTCCATGTTACACATCACACTAGAATTTTATTTCACTTTTCCTATCCTGCTTTTTGACACTCTAGTTGGGTTTCTGATGAAACCCACTTCTCCTGTCCATTTATCTTTCTTGGTAAATGCATTTTCATTCTGCATGACTTTTATACAGTGGTCCACGGCCAAAATATGTAGCACACAGATGGGCACAAATGGAAATGTAACTTTCCAGCTGAACAGAGGCATAAGAAGAGTACTGCCAATCACTGCCTGGCTTTACCTCTGAGGTTACAATTACTGAGAAGCCTATATGGGAAAAAAAGGAAATACAAGACAGCCTATGAATTTGTGAATGCAACACCAGTTCTACAGGATACTATAAAGAACAGTTACAGGTATTAAGACACCAGTCCCCGCCATAAGGCTAGAATAAAAACAGCCCTGTCTTTGGCAGGATACACTATTTACTACACATGACTCTTCCATGTCCTGACTAATTTGTTTCCACTGTTTTTTCACACAGCAAATACCTAGGCGTTGAAAATTTTAAAGCAACACTTGGATTAAAAGAAATGTTAGCTGAGGAGGAAGGGAATTAAAAATTACGGATCCCACATTTCTAAATATCAGCTCAATGGGCACAAGTGAAGAAGAAAAAAATGCAGGCAAACTTTTGCAACAGTTCAGCACTAACCTGCCCATCAAAGTCAGAGAGATACCAATGAAACCTACCCAAGTCCATGCCATCCAGAAAGGCAGATTTTCCCTCAGTTATCACTGCAATCTAAAAATCTATGAAGAGTCAATTATATTATCTTATTCTTTAAAAATAATTAAATTAAATCTTCTTACAAGACAAGCAGTGCCAACAAGAAACCTGCAGTTGGAGGTAGGAATTCCAGAAGAAAAGACACCAAGCTCTACATAGAAAGACTCTAGGCCCCTTTGCAAACAGATCTGTTTTTCCTGTGTGTGGAGTACACAGGATCATCTAAAAAGGTAGCACAGGCACCCAGCCTAAAAGTGCACAAATATTCTGTGTAAGTATAGAGTAAGAGCTCTTCTGAAGTCACCACACACCCCAGACAGACTAAGAGGGCAGACAGGACCTCTACAACTGCTGTGTTACTAAAGAAGTTTTTGGTTGTGTTCTTTCCACTAAATCATAAATCATAAATACAGGAATCAATCCAGTCAGTTCAAGTTAAATAATTAAATGCCATTAAATAATCCATGCAAGGAATTATTACAGACTTTGAATCCTTCTATAAATGTTCTTCTGACTAGAAGATACAGTGGCCCACACACAGAATCAGACAGGCCAATAAACCTAATGAAACACATAAAACCCACTCAAATTTTAGGAGCCAAAAAAATCATGGAGGAAAGGATATAACAAGAAGAATCACTCCACATATACAGCTGAGAGATTTTTTTATTAGCAGTAAGTTAGTAATACAGAAATTCTTGTTTTACATATATATAGAACCATTTGGTTATAAACACACACTTTCATTTGAATCAAAGATCTAAGAACTATTGGCTACCCTGATCACAGGCATCTGCTACTTGGAAAATTAAAAGAAGACCTTTCATTTTTTAACCTGTATGCCTTAACATCAGCATGCTACACTGGAAGTTATTTAGGGTTTTTTTCTGCATGACACTATTCTCACTGTGCTGCTTTCATAACATCAGCATAATATTTTTACTATACCTTTATGTAAGAGGCCTTAAAAAATTACCCTCTCTGAAATAACACTGAGCATCAGTCAAGCTGTATACCTTTCTCTCTATCACTGTGATGGAGGGGACAGTGAACTAAGGTCACAGAACATAACAGAAGAGTATTAAACAATGAGCAAACCTGAGGGGATTAGGATGTCTAATGTCTGTCACAATGAGGAGATGGATCAGGTTTGGACAAACGATAGAGAAATTCAAACACACTCTAGTAGGAAGACGACAGTAAATTGGGGAAGGTATTAATCAAGAAGAAAGAGCAGCAGCCACCAAATTCTAACATATGCAGCTCTAAGAACAACGAATGTGGAGACAGCCAACCAATACAGGAGCAGAGAGTGGCAAACAAAAGAGGATTCAGCTGAACTCTGAAAATGAAGAGTTTCTGCCTGCTCTTTCTGACAGCTGTTGAACCCCAGGGCCCAAATCAAGTCTATTTTTTCAGCTGCAGGTTTCACTGGATGTCAGTGCCCTTCTCAGTAGTGCTGTAGCACCTGCAAGATGGAGAGAGTCCACTGCAGAGAATGAACCTGTATCCCAGCATGTGTGAGGGGAGAAGTTACTGAGCCAGCAGAGCTGCCCATGGGGGAGTCTCGTCCCCTTCTGCTCCTTCCCAGCTCCCACCCACACAGTCCTGCCTGATGCTGAGCACTGACTCTCACCCTCCTCAGACTGAGCCACAGCACCTCTCTAACTCAAAAGAAAACAATTCAGTGTTTTGTTCTTGGCTGGGTTAGCAAATTAAATCAGCTCTCAGCAGGCTGGAAAACCCAATGCCAGGTGAGTTAAGCCCAGCCAGCTGCTGTCAGGCCACTGGGCTGACTCAAGCTTTCTCTACTTACAGCATCTGGAAAAAAAACCCCAAAAAACAAAAAAACAAACAAAAAACCCCCCCAACCCCCCCCCCCACAACTGCCATTAGATAGATTAGGAGATGTTGTTTTCTTCTAATCACACATTAATAACCCTTTTATACAGATACTAAATGTTTGGATTAAAAATTTAAATTCTGTATATACTTATGTAGTAGCTGGACAAAGGCCACAATGTGGTTCAGCATAAAGACACCTTAGTTCTCCACGTTCAAAGCACACACATTTTATAGCATTGGAAAGGTTCTGGCCAATTAAAATTTCCACATATTTTTCTTTGCCAGGATGAAAAAAGCATCAAACTTACTTAGTCTAAAAGGGAGCTGTGAGTATAAACAGCACTTGTTGGAGCTGGGGAGGAGAAGACAGGCAGGAATAAAACGCTACAAAAATTACAAAACACTGAGGAAAATAAAGCACTATGTTGGAATAGATGCCACTCTGATCCCTCACCTGCCCTGCTCTTTAGGTCAGATCAGGGCTCAGAATTTGATGCAAAAGGCTCCCAAAGGCTGAAGACTCCTGTTATGGGAAAGAATGGTACCACGTACCACAGCCCTTTCCACTTCTTTTGCTCTCCTGTACAACACATTTCCACAGCATGAAACAGAAGGAAGCAGAGTGCTCAGTACACTCCTCTTAAAGGTGGGGAAGCCTGAGGCACAGTGGGATGGTATGAGCATAGCCCTACCAAAAGCACACAGCAGACTTCTACACCTTCAGTAAGAGAAAATTCTGTAAATGCAGCATAATTTGTCAGAGATGCTGCCTTTTCATTAGTACATCAAAATTACCATAAAAATGAAATAAAGTATTTTGAACCCATATTAAAAAATAGTAATAACATAAGAAGGCAACAGGACCAGGAAGACTGAATCTAAAATCCATTCTGAAATTATGGGAAGCAGACAGAAGCCCAATAGAGTTCAGGTTTTTATACTGCGAAGCATTATCTTGCCTAATTTCTGCAAGTCCCTGGTAGAACTGTATAAATCAAATAAGATGACTAAAAAAATTTAAATAATCCATGTAAATCACAGAATCATGGAATATCCTGTCTTGGAAGGGACCTAAAAGGATCAGTGAAGTCCAACTTATAATTTCTTTGATAAAACCCAGCATTTTTGTGGAAGCAAAGAAATAGAAAAAGCTCTTAATGGAAAAAAATAGCTCAAGCTTGAAGGGCAGCAGTACAGACACAGGTGCTGGGTGTCTGTGTCTCTGTTTGCACCCAGCAGACTGACTCAAGACTCTAAAGGAAACCTTGCAGCTGAAGGGATTTGTGTTCAGTTTCTTGTCTGCCCCTTCTGCTCACGTCCACAACACTCAGCTAGAGAAGGATGGCAATAAAACTTCTGTTTTTCTGTACCATTAGACTGTCCTCTAGCTCAAAATGAAAAAAGTTAACATTGTAAGCAATGCCTTCATCAAGTCAGAAGTAGAGAAGCTCAAGGTGAGGTATGGTCAAGATCATCAAGAAGACAGGTCATGTCTAGTCCCCTGTACAGTCAGGAGAAAAGGGGATGGAGGGTGAAGTCCTTAACCAGGCTTAATTTCTAAACACAGATTTATCTTTTTTTTTTCTTTTTCCTGTCCCTAAAGATGCAGAAAATTAACCTTGAAAAACATACCTGCTCAAGAAGACACCATGGCTACCTACCAAA